GCTATGACCCATGTTTTTGTACTTTTATTTTAGCTGGAGTGAAAGTTAAGAAATTTCTTTTTTATCAGATTTTACTGGTGATCTTCAATATGGTTTGAGTTTAATGTTTCCCACTAAATGGAGTGGCAATCTAATAATTTTGCTGCTGATGCAGCATTGTGTGTCTGAACACGAGTTGCTAAACTCTTAGGTAAACTCAAGTGCTTGCAGCGACCTGCTGCATACAGCACTGTAAGCAAACCTGTGAAGGAGTTGTTTAAGCTACAAATTACTCATTTGCACAATATATCAAATATCACCTTGGTGGGACATGAGATTTATTTATATTTTAAAAAATACTCTGAAGCCATTGTTAAGGTATGCTAATAAAATCAAGAAGGGATTATATTCCTTAGAATAATTAGCTCTGGACCAGTTATTCACATGTGGCTTTTTACTCAGTGCATATACATTACAGACATATAACTAAGCAAACGTGTAGTTTTAGAAGCCCTGTTATACCAGTAAATATACTCCCATTTTATTAGCCCCAACGAGCAGCAGGGAGCATGAACTCTTCCGTTCCAGGAACATGCAAATACATTTTATATTCCTTTCTGCCTTTCATCATATATCACAGTGAGCTTGTACCAAAAATTTGTATTTTAGAGACTCCTGGTCAACTCTGTCAGAATTATACTTGCGTACAAAGTTGCCAAAGTCTGTAGTTTTGGGGTTTTCTGATTGTTATTTGTTAGTCCTGCTGGAGCTTGAAAATTTCTTTTTTAGAATTAGCAGTTCCTTTTCTGAATCTTTGTCTGAGCTTTTTCTTAATCTTTGTCTGAGGAAACATGCCAGGGAATCCTCCACATGCTCTCTGATTAACAGCAAAATAGTTGTTAATGTCCGGTATTAAATTCTGTTAAACGGCACACAGAATGTATAAACACTTGACTTTCAATAAAATTACGAAAGAAGGAAAGAAAGAAATATTGACTTTGTTGAGCAGGACAACAATCCCATTGCATTCGGTTAAGTGATTTTCAAATCCTCCTGTATGAATAGCTGACATGGGACAATTTGAAGCCCAAGCCCAATTAATTCTCATCGATGGATCTTAGAGCTGTTACATTCATGGAAATTTATTCACGTACATATTTGGGCTTGGGAGAAAAACAAAATAAAAATGACCTTAAAATAAACCAACTAACAAACCTGTGGAGGTGTTGGTAACCTTGGCCACTCATTGAAAAGTGCCCCCTAAATAGCCTGTGAAATTAGTGATGATTTTTTTTTTTTTTTTTCCCTTCATAGCACAACTGGGACACAGAAACCCCGTTTTCTTTAGCGAGAATGCTTGGACGCCCTCCAGTCAAGTGGGAACAAAGAGTTGTCTGTCAGGGTCCCCGGAGCCCCCACATCTGCTTTTTAAAACAGGATGTGGGGAGGGGTAAAAATCCTCTCCATCTGTGACGCTAACACGGCTTTAAGAACACCTGGAATTACTAGACCCAGCATTTGAAGCTTATCTCTGGAGCTGATTTCTGATAGACTAAATGCCTTTAGGGGCCGAATTTCTGTGTTATGTGGGAGCTTAGTGTTAGGGCAGGTTTTCTACTGGAGGATCTGGACTGTAAAATCTGAACCCAGTCCTCCTTTGGAAAATCGTAAAATAATTTCAACAACTTACTTCTGGGAGACTGTTTAGCCTGGTTTTAGCATTTATTAAAAACCCCTCAACAAAATAACAAAAAAATCCTTCGAGTAATTTTTAGTGCATTTCACTATCCGATTGGAATTTTCTAAGCAAATGCATCAAATTTTTGCCTTTATTTTTGTTAACTGCTTTCTGTTTAAGTTGACTTCACTTGCTTAAATGTTCAACAAAGCAGGGAACATTAAGGACACAATCAGGTTAAAGGAAGTTTCTTCTGTGCTTGAAAGAGTATTAAAAAAAATACCTGTGCATTTTCAGTAGAGCCTGAAGGTGTTTCCTCTGATCAGTGTGCAGTGAAAATAGCCCAAGTATGACATATTATCAGTCAGCTTTTAACAGAATGTGCTTCAACAGTTACTCAGATAATTGACCAGCTAATAAAAAGAAGAAATATTTTGGTGGACAATTTGTGAAAGGAGAATAATTTCTAGACTACTTTCTATTAATTATTCCTCTGTCTCCATTTTCAGATAAAGATTCTGTTGGTGAATTCTGTCAACAATTTCAAATGATGTTTCAAGTGATGTTTAATATGATTAAAACTGTTTTAGGTCTCTGTGTATCATGTCAGAAAGACTTGTTGGGTTTCTCTTTGTTTGTTTCATTTGCCAAACGGGCTACCATATCCTGGCTCTAACACTTCTAGATTTCAGCCGTAGCACTAATAAAACCTGTCTGGGCAATTTACTAAAGGTCTGCTTTCTATTTCAAAGATTGTTCATTTAAATCAGTGGCCTAATTAGCTGCCTATTAGTAAGTGTAGAAATTTCTAATATAAAAATAGGAAATCTGGTTCAGAATAGATGTTACAATATATTTTAGACAGTAGTCGTAATAAAAAAATGTGGTTGCAGTCATCTTTATTTCTGGAATTTTAAAGTTTGCAGGGAAACTCTGAAGTGGAAAGGTTGACAGCCATAATTGTAATTATGTGTTCTTGAAACTAGTAGGTGAGTACTTTAATGACTGCTTTTTGTATTCACTACTCATCTTTTATGATAGCACATAATCTCAAAAGTTCATCAACTTGTGTTTTATGTTTTTAATATTGAAAAAATCCTGCCTGTTAGAGGCAACTGAGTGCATTAATTCTTGTTGTTTCTTTTTATGGTAAATACCAAGTGATAAGGATGCTCTTGGCTTTTTCGGTCAGCTGAATTTCTGCTGTTTTTTCTTGACTACAAGTCTGATGTGCTCAGAGATTTAGATTGTGATTGTTTTGGAAGTCAGCTTTGGTTACTAAGAATGAGTGTTCAATTTTGTCTCTTGTATAATTGTCATCTTAAAAGAAAATCTTTAAATTGCCACAAACTACAATAATGTGTCAGCTGGGTTGGCTACATCCTTCTTAACAAAGAAGTCTGCAAAATACTGAAACTGTAGCACAGGACATATTTACTTCATAGGTTCAGATAAAGATAGCAACAAGATTGTCTGAAGGATTACTTTTAAATTTATGAAATAGAAAATATTTTATATGGAAAAAAACCCTATGAAATTAGATGATGGGAGGAAAATCCTGATGACAGAGAATTTGTGTTAATGTGGCTTACAGTTTGTGTTCACTCTTTCTTCTGACAGTTTTAACACTGTGTAATCCTCCATAATCTAAAACTGGGTATGCACTGTTTTTTCTGTGAAACAATGTGGGGATGGGGGGTAGAGCAACAGTTAAAAATACCCCTGTATATAACAGAGGTTTTTCTAATTACTTGGGAGAAAGTATTGTAGTTACTGTAACTTTTAGAATTATTTTCCATTACTGTACACTGGCAACCTATTCAACATTTAAGAAATTTGTATTTCTGTATTGCTTTTCTGAGTGGTTTGAGTTGCACGTACATCAAGAAGCTGCTATGCTGTTGGCTTGTTTGAAAAAAATATGATGAAAATTTCCCTAGACATTAGCTTTTAGAGTAGAAACATCTTATTTAGAAGCCAGCTCATTCTTTGTGAATGCTCTAAAAGTAAATTGTTTATGTTAGAAACTTTTTTTTTTTAATAGTAACTGTCTTTGACACTTTTTTATACTTGTCAGTCAAATATTTTCGAAGTAATTTTTTTAGTAATTTTTAAGTAGATATATATTTCTAAGAGGCACAGTATAACAAATGTATAGCAAAGATGAAGGACCATTGAACGGTGGTAAGGAAATACAGTTAATCTCTTGAACAGTGCATTTCATCAGTATGTGTTAAAATTAGTTAAAATGTTACATAATTTCTGTTTCTTTGAAGTTAATATATTCTTATTAATGCTGGCAATGAAGTGAATTTTCCTCACTGAGCTCAGTAAGTTGTGTTCTGTGCTGTCCGGAGGGTACAGGGAATGAATGCAAAAGCATTTTGATGTTATAACTAAATGTCAGTGTACTACAACGGTTGAACAATATGAGCTTTTCATGTCAGTCAGACAGTCCTTTGATGTGTTTGGCATTAGATTTGGGGGGGGGCTATCTAAAAGGTGTATTACATAAATATTGTTAATGACCATTAATGCACATATTATAACACAGAAGTCAACTAGTAATTATTTTAAACTATTATAGTTGGTTTTATGTTGCACTTTAAAACGGTAAAAGATAGAAACTTTGTTTTCCTTTGCATGCATTTAAATATCTTGAAAGGAGGGTTGGGGTTTTTTTTTTCAATTGTATAGCTGCACTTTTTCTTTATGGAGCCAGTTTTCTTCTTCTAGCTTAAGGGAAAGTGGTTGCCATACAAAAATACCATAGCATGTTACCCGTGCCCTTTAAAATGGTGTGAAAATGCAGAGCCATCGCATATATCATGAATTCCCTGTCTAGACACACACACATATCATACTATCTCTTCTTTCTTCTATATATGGTGATTTTTTTTATTCTTGAAATGAGTTTATTAGACTTGAACCTGGCTGGCTTTTTTGAAAAATAGTTTGTGTTAAATTCCTTTTGATTTTTATATCCATTTTATATATATATATATATATATTTATTTTTATATATATATATATTTTTTTTTTTTACTGATAAACCGATTATCAGTGCTTTGTTTTCAAGTACTTTTAAGGGGTATGTGAAACAAAAATACCTGGGAAATATCTGGTAACTCCTGTAAGATCTGTGAAGAGTAATGGCTGAAATACAGAACGGATGAAATTACAGACAATGCAATAATCTACCGTTATACTGCAATAACAAACTAAAAATGTAATAACTAAGAAGTGTGAGGACATTCTCTTTCTCACAATATTTCGGGCAGGAACAGTCCACTTGTGCTAGGAAAAGAGTAGGCAGTTGCAGTAAACCTGCTGTATTACCCACCTGGCTGTAGGCAGGGGGCTCCAGGCATGAGGACAGCTTGCCCCCCGCTCCGCGGTGACATCGCTGGGGAGGCTGCCGGCGGGGCGAGAGCTGGCCCACGGCGCGCGGGGCTGCACCAACAGCCTTGTAGCCAGAGCCCTCACTCTCGGTATTGCTACGGCTTAGATTGCACAGGGACCGAGAGGTCTCCGTGCCATTCCCATAGGCGCTGTGCACATCTGACAGGATGGTTGCCTCTACCTCAAAGACTTTGTTAAGGATTAGAGGGCTTTAGCAAGGATTGTATGGTTTCATTGCTCCGAGTGTTGGAAAATGCAGTTGTGGCTTACACGGGTAGAGGTTACAGTCTGGTTTGAAAGATGAGCTACAGGAGGTTCCCATAATACTGTGAATTTAAGAATGTGAATTGAAGCACAACAGAGAAGGTAATAAACACAGAGAGAAGAAAGAGGAATAACACCAACAAGTGAACTGGGCACACAGACTAGTTCTGGGAGTACTTGGGTTGCCTTGAGTCAACAATTTAATAGTAATTTGCCAATATATATTTGGCTACTGGTAAGGCTCTACAATATCTTGCATCCTTTTTTGTTTACATATTGATTAAAAATAGAACATATTACTCTCTCTCATGTGAATGAACTGGGATACTCCCTGAATGCAGTTTAAAAGATCAGTATTATAATTTAAACCATAGAAAACACAGGTGCAGAGAACATAAATAAGATTGCACATGCTTTAGCCATTCCATATCATGAACTGCTTAATTAACCTTCTTTGCTTGTAATTGAATATAGCCCAACCAGGCTTGTGTTTATGAACAGCAATGGGTGATATTTCTTATGAGATTCCTTGATGAGATTGCCATGTCATCTGACACTCTTGACCAAAAGTCATTTTCTTACCTCCTAGCTTGTCAAGATCAGTATACTTCTTTTTTCACAGCTTGATGACAGATGAGACTAGTGTGCTGCACATGGGAGTCTTCTCTGTGCTAAGATGTAAATGAATGAGTTTTATAGCAGAAAGTTAAGAAAGCTTGCCCCTCCCCCCTCCCTTTTTTTTAAAATGAGCAGTGAAGACCATTGATGTGTGTCATTAATGGTAATGGTCCACTCTAAGGAAAAGACACCTGCCTAGATGCTTCATGGGGATAGGGGAAGGCTGTCTGTGTTCAGGCTATGGTTTTGAGTGTGAAGCCTAATTGGAAGTATCTCGAGGTTGAGCACCTTTGGTGACTCCTGCACAGCAAACTGATAGATCTGATTTCGATTCCCAGTGGTAAAATATCTGTTTCACAAAGCCTGGTTATTGCCCTCGCCAAAGGGAGGCTGCATTACTTTAGTCTCTGTAAGGAGTCAATGTTTTCCATTGTTTGGGAGCTACTTGGGTTTATTTATCCATTCCTGGTTGTGTTGATGCTGTTTGGTGCATCGGTAGGATCCCAGTAGCCAGGCTGGCTGTATTTCCCAGTAGACAGGGGAACATTCTTATTTCAGCTTTCTAGACAACAAGGATTTATGTGTGGGTTTCAGTGGCCTTCTCAAGATGCTAAAATGGCTGCATTTTGTTCAGAGGTTGCCCATCTTGGCCAGTCACAATTGGGGGTTCTCCATAACTCATATAGAAAGTGTTAGAGAGAAAGGAAATATGAAAGAGGGATGAAACTCCTGTGGGCTTTTGAAGTCAGTGTCAGAATTGTGGTCAACTTGCTTATTAGTAATTAAAAGTGACATTTGAGAAATAACACCCCCCCCCAAAAAAAAACCAGACCTGCTATCCCAAACAAGAAGAAAAACATCACTTTTTCTGGAAGTTCATGATGTGGAAGCAACTTACAGGCTTTTATATACTTCTTTCAATTTGCAGAGGAGCTAGGTTTATTCAGGCCAGTGTTAGGCTGGAGAGAGGTTTGCAAAGAGGTCACTGAACTGTTGGGAGAATTACTGTGACATCGTTGCAGTTAGTGGGTTTGTCACTTTGGGGCACAGGAGTGACAATGTGACTGGTTGATCTCTTCCAGAAACCTCTGGAATCCAAGAAGAAATTTAAAGGTGATTATAGTATGTCGTATCATTTACATAACTTACCTATCAGTAACACTTCCCATATTGTCAGATGTGTGTGTGTTTATATATATGCCTGCTGAAAGGTTTGGATTTAAAGGATAAACTCTGACAGTGATGTGGACTCGATTTGACCTTGAAAAAATGTAAGCACCTCCTCTTTGATTGTACTGCTTTGCATAAAAGAAAAAGGAGATGCCTACATTAGCCATTTCTTCTTCTACTACACAGGCTATGCAGGACTTCTTGTAAGAAAAATGAGCAAATCTGATTATAGACCTTGACTTAAGCTTTTGACAACAATCTGGTTTGGGTTTTGTTCACGAGCATTTAGGATAAATGGCTGGAATAACAAGGATTTGGGTCACTGTTGATAGTCAGCAGTGTCCATAAGTGTGGCTTTTCACCAGGCTTCATGCCATATTAATCACAAAGTTTGAGAGCAGTGGTGGGACCTGTCTCCTTGCTGTCAGTCCCTGCAGCCTGCACACTGGATGTGTCAGCACAATGCCACTGGCAGATGGAAGAGTTGAGTAAATATGCACAGTTATGGTTTAAGTGAAAAAGCTGTGGGAAAGGAAATACATTAATCCATTGTAGCTGTTTTGTTTTTTTTTTTTTCTTTTAAGTAAGCCTCTGTAATAAATTGTGAGTTTTTCCTGGATTTACCCTTTATATTTCTAGATTCCTGTCTTGAGTGGGAGAGGGAGTGGAATAGAAATTGAACTGAAGCATTAAAAAATACTAAAATACAGAAGCAACTATCAAAAATTAAATTAGGTTGTGTATGTGGAAAGAAATCCTGTTCCATATGGTCTCTTTTATGAACCCGATTCAGGAAATCCTGGTCTAGCAGATCATAAAATATGCGCTATGCATACAAGTGTATAATTTATTTAGGTGGTGGTGTGGAGGTGATGCTTAGGAGGTGCTTTAAAGGCAGAAAAAAAATGAAAATCTGACTCTGGGAAGAGCTAAACTTGATGAACTGAGTTGATATCAAGTTGATAAACTTGAATGAGTATGGGTTTGCTCTTTGAAGGTATACTAAACATTTGATCTTTTAACTCTTTGGGTTTTGGATACTTTCTCCCTACATAATCAGGAATTTCATGTCTGATCCTTTCTTTGATTTTTGCAGTTTTAAGAACTTTTAATGTATATAAAAACAAAAGCCAAAAAGGAAAGGATGTTGAATACTTTACAAAACCTTTTTTAAAATTCAAAGCTATTAGTATAATTTTGAAAATACTTTTGTTCCTTAAATGTTTCATTTTGATTCTTATGTCATCATTTTGCTATTTTTTCCAGTTGTTACAATTTTTATATGCTAGAAGGACCAGATATCCTAAGAAGACAATTTCCTGAGCCATACAGATGTGGAGAAGCATGATATATTTTTCTCTCCCATTTCCCCTTCTCCCTTAGTTTTAAATCACTTTTGAGGTGCATGAAAACTTTATTCCTTACTCTTAAAAGTACTGTGGCCCCTGCTCAGTGTAGCAGCAGTGCAGGATGCCTGCTGCTCCTGTGCAGGGTCTCCATAGGGTTACGAGGGAGGGGTTTAGGCTCCTGCTTTCTGCCGATGCCACAGCTGCTGTTGCTGTATGTGGCACAGCTAATTTGCCTGTTTGATGTCGATGTGGGTGTTGCTGCAAGGGCTGATGACAAGTGGCTGTGCATGAGGACATGGGTAGCAGGAGTCTAAACTTTTTCTGCAGAAGTGCTGTTAAAATTCAATTAAATGCCTGCTCAAAGATGGGGTAGGAGTGACAGAGCCTGCACACACAAAGCTGAGCTCAGAGACGGGCACTGATCCAAGCCTAACGTATCTGCAAGCTGTGCCAGTTGCTTTTGGCCCTTGTTGGGATAGAGGAAGCCATGGCAGAGCTCCGTGTTGTTACATCTAGACCCATTTCTTGTGCTCAAGCCAGTTTATTTTAAGCTAGCTTGAAATATCTCTACGCTGCACCATAGTGGGTAATGTATGCAAAGTCATGTATTTCAGTGGTATCAGTTGCAAATTGAAACCTTTCATATGGAAACCTTACAGGGAAAAAAAAAAAGAGAATTGGAAGTAAATAGTGTAAAACTCTAGCTAAACTGTTGCTGACTCTTAAATATTGTCTCTTGCTTGTGTGGAAGCTGGGAATACTCTAGGAAGAGGTGGCCAGTTAAGGACACTTGGCTGAATTAAATCATGGCTTATGTGGGTTCTGTTGTATCAGTAATTTCATATCCTTCTAAGAGCTTGTTGATCTTCTTACAAGGGTTTGATGTGAACAAAGTCGGGGCAGAAGCTGATGCAAAATATGTATTACACAGCCAAGTCATGCACAGCGAAATGGGTAAACCCACACGCATTTGTCCTGCAGGCTCCTGCTTGTTGGTTAAATGTTATTTCTGTCAGGTCTGTCATGGTACATATATATGCGTGATCAGTTTTGTTCACCTTCTGGTGGCGTTCCAACATGGAAAACACATGGAAAAAGTGCAAATACTACCTTAATAAGCTAACACTCAGAAAAACTGAAGCAGAGCTGATTTTTTTTCTTTTTATCTTTTTTTTTTTTTTTCTTAATGTCACTGAAGTACATTGTAAGCAGAATAGCTTCAAGTTCAACTCTCAAAGCTGCTTTTGTCCTTAGAGAAAAATCCCTTCCAGAGTAAAACTCTGTGCTGGCTAGCGCTAGCTCTAATGCAGATGGGGCACCTAATTCCCTTATGAAGGAGAAATTGTAGCCGTGCAAACAGGAGGAGATGCAGATGTTTTCCTTGTTCAGATCCGCTCCTCAGATAACGCTGTACTGTGCGCCATGTGTGCACCGTGCCATGTGGATCCTGCAAATCTCAGAGGGGCTTTCTTTAAACATACGCTGCAGCATTCCAGAGCTGTGGCGACATGGATGCCCATCACAACCTTTCTCCTTCATGCATCTTTTCTGGTACTTGACCCATGCCAGATACATAAGTATCTTAGGAATGAAGCTTTTACAGACTGATTTCCCCGGCTGCTTATTTTCTCATGTAGATGTTATTCCTTTTTCTTGCATGAGTTGTGAACAAGAAGTTACACCTTTTATCTAACAACTGAGGGACTGCAATCTGAAATTTCACTAATGTTTATGCAACTTTCTGC